GCCAGTTCTTGGAACAGGACATCATGCTTGGAAAGGTGGTGGAGGTTGTTGTTAAGTGCCCTCAAGAGAACTGTGACTCACAGTGAACCTATGAACAATGGGATGGAACCCTATCCTATCTTGTACCATCCTTATCGTCCTGACACATTTGCACCTATTCCTGAAGACACTCTGTCAGTCTGTCTTATTGAGGGTCTTGCTCTCCTTCTCTGACCTTCTATCTTTCCAAGCATGACACCCCTTTCAAAGGAATAGCCTCTCCTAACAATATGTTTAAAATATGCAAGCTGAAGCTTCACCATCCTTGTCTCTATGAACACTCTGGTTGCACTTTCTCCAAGACATATCTTTTTATTCTTTTGGTAATCCTTGGGATTGTCAGCACTCTTCTCCAATACCACAACTCAAAGGCATCAATTCTTAAATCATCTTTATTAATTGTCCAGCTCTCAGATGTATAGGAGGTGATTGAAAAGACCATGGCCTGAATCAGGCACACCTTAGTCTTCAGATTGACATCATTGCTCTGCAGAACTTTGGAGAGATCTTTGGCAAAAGACTTTCCCTATGTTATACATCTTCAGATCTCCTGATTGCTGAATGTTGACTGTGGATCCAAGTAATGTGAAATAGTTGATAATGTTTAATCTTTTTTCCATGATGTTGCCTATTGACCCAATGGTAAAGATTTTTGGTTTTTTTATGATAACATGTAATCCATACAGAAGATTTTAGTCAATGATCCTCTGCAATGAGTGCTTCAGATCCTTCTCACTTTTAGCAAGCAAAGTTGTGTCATCTGCATAGTGCAGGTTGTTCAGGAGTATTCCTCCAATCCTGATGCCACACTCTTCTAATAAAGTCTAATGTCTCTAATGATTTGCACAGCACACAGATTGAACAGGTATAAAGTTAGGATACAACCCCGTTGCTCTTTAGTCCCGATTTTAAACCATCACTGTCTTCTTGCTCTGTTTGTATAACAGGTTCTCAATTTCATAAAGCATAGTTAAGTGTTCTGGAATTCCCATTCTTTTCAAGATTAGCCATAGCTTGTTATGATTCACATAATTAAATGCCTTTGCATGGTCAGTAAGATACAAATTGATATTCCTCAAATACTCTCTGTTTTTGGCCAAGATCCATCTGACAGTTCTGTGCCACACCTCCTGTCGACATGGTGAAGTTGAGTAAAGAAGCTAAGCAAAGATTGCAGCAGTTCTTCAAGGGTGGCCGGTTTGCCATCCATTGGGGCTTCATCCCGCTCGTGATTTACTTGGGATTCAAGAGAGGTGCAGATCCTGGAATGCCTGAACCAACTGTTTTGAGCTTACTTTGGGGATGAAGGACTACTTGATCATCTGGATTTGGAAGCAGTCGATGAATATAGAAAGGACATGGAAGGTGTTGCACTCTGGATGCTATAAGAAATACGACATCGTTGAGACATTCAAGCCAGATGTGCCTAGGAAGACAGGTCTGGTAATCTGCTCCCAAATGGTTACAACTTTTAAAATCCTAAACGACAATTATACTCTCTATATATGAGTTGTCACCATGCAAAATCAGTTTGCAACTAGTAACAACAAATGTATATCCTGGAAAAACATACTGAAATTGACAAAGATGTGTCCAAAACCCAAAGTTATAAGTCTTGAGTTTTAAGAGGGAGCTCTCATGGCTTCTCAGGTAAGAAATTGTATTGCCATTCCAAAGGCAAGTGGCTTGAACCACCAGCTGCTCTCTGGGAGAAAACCTGGCAATTTCCTTTTATTGCAATTTCAGCCTCTGAAAAACCTGCTGGACGCTCAGCTATGAGCTGGTTCTGACTCCAAGGCATTGAGTGAAGGCAATGAGTGACCTGTGTTGTGGTTGTGTACCATTCAGTTAGAACTTACTCAAAGCTGACCCTTCAAAGGGTTTTCAGAGGCAGTAAATCAAATGGAAGGAGATTGCCCATCTGTCTCTCGTGGAACATCTGGCAGATTCAAACCATGTGCCTTTGTGTTGGCAGTGCAGCTCCTTACCACTAGGCCACCTGACATGCCTAGAATTGATAAATGGTGAATTCACAGTTATTAATTTGAAAGTCATACCTATTTTGAAAGTTAAAATTATTTTCCAGTGGATAACAAAAAGTCTGCTATCAGAGACCTCTCCAAGGTACTGAGGAGCAATGATGTCAGTTTGGAGACTAAGGTGCACCTGATACCAGCTGTGGTCTTTGCAATTTCTTGAGAGGCATCAGGGAGCTGGACAATGACTAGGAATGATAGGAGAGTTAATGCTTTTGAGCTTTGGTGCTGGAGAAGAGTATTAAATGTACCATGGACTGCTAGAAAAATAAACAAGTTCATCCTGGAGAGGGTGAAGCCAGGCTGCTCCTTGGAGGTAAGGATTCTAAAGCTTTGTCTGGCAGACTTTGGACATGTTGTAAGGTGGGATCAGTCCTTGGAGAGGGACCTCATGCTTGGGAGAATGGAGGGACGGTGCGGGAGAGGAAGACCCTCGATGAGATGGCTTGATAGGTGTGTCAGAGACAATAAGATTGGCAAGGGATAGAGCAGGATTTAGGGCTGTTGTACATAGGGTTGCTATGAGTCGCTGGTGACTGCATGGCACATAACAAAACAAAATATTTTAAAAACTCATTGTTTTTATGGAGTGATTTAAATTCCCCCCCACCCATGATGAAATAGAACTTGAATGTTTAAATGCTGACTTCCACACCCCCTCCAACCCGGAGTGAAGCAGATCTGGTCTGCCATCTTCAAGAATCTAATGTAATTAGAAATTATGTTACCTTCTGCATCTGGACTTTAACACAATAAACTATATGCACATACTTAGAGAGTACGCGTTTGCCATGTAAATGGTTTTTCTCTACTTTCCCCATTAAAGTATAATCATAGTTCAGGGGAGACACTACACTTATTTCCTTTATACACTCGCATTGTATTAAAGTATGTTATTTTAAAATTTGATTTGCTATGCTTCCAAAACAAATGAGAAAAAAGTGATGAGAGTTAAGAAGGATAATTCAAACTCATCTGAGAATCCCGAATTTGCAACAGATTATACATTGATACAAGCAGTCAAGAAATCAAAAGACATGTTACACCAGGGAAGTCTCCTGTCAAGGACCTCACCAAAGTTCTAAAGAGCAAGGAGGTCAGTTTAAAGACTAAGGTGCACCTAATCCATGACATAGTCTTTTTAACGACATGTTATGCATGTGGAAGTTGTGCAGTGACTGAAAGATGGGCAATCTCCTCCCATTTGATGTGTAGTGTCTGAAAACTGAAGGCCAGTTATGACTAGGGTAAAGCAAAATTTGTTGGAGATTCATCCATATTGTCAGTAGCTTGAAAATTCTTAATCATTTTGGTGATGCATAATATTCCATTTACTTACAAGCTTTTACTTACAAACTTTTTAATGGTGTTAAGGCCCATTTCAGTCAGTGTATGAGCTCTTGAGGAAAACTCTTAGAAAATAAATAAGAAAGGAAAATTTTAAACCTTGAGGAAAAGGAGGAACCTTTGAGAACTGTAATCTCCACTAAGAAGTCACAAATGCATCTTGGACGAGACTGAAGGAGGCTGAAAATGTCAAATCTGTTGCAAACATGCTTTCTGTTTGTAACCAAAAGTTTTTGCACTTTCCCCTTTTTCTTCTCCTTTTAATTCATTACTTTGACAAGGAACAGTGAGAAAGGAAATGAGGTGGGCACAGCTTTGAGTAACGGGCAATTTGGCATCTCTCTGCCCCGAGGCCACCCCTCCCCCACACGTTTAGCTATCTGACCTGATTACCAAGCTTTGGGACGGCATCCAGGCTTCTGTACACGAACGAGGCCCCTGCCCTGTTCTTGAATTAGTGCGTTTTCATAGACTTTTGAGCTCCCGGACTGGCCACGCCGACCCTGAATTCTCAGCAGCCTCCCAATTTTGTCAGGGGCTCGCCAGGAGGGAGTTCACACCCCATTGCAGTAGGCAGACTCTCTGACCGCCTCACTGGATTATTCATTAGCAAATTCTTTCACCTTCTATCTAAGTAGAGGAGTGACGTCACAATCACGTGTGGCACTCCCCCGAAAGGGAGATCCTGGCAACACCCAGTCTTAGGGTCTGCAACTTGTCTTCAAGACAAGTTAACTTTCAGAGCGGTAGAAAGCTTCCCAAAAGCTCCCTCAAACCTTCTCTACTCCCTAAGCTTACAGGTCAGAGCGCCAGGTCCTCCAGGCGGCTGCAGGGGGACCAGTTTAAAAGTTTCTGGTGTAAGGGGAGAACCGAAAGGGTGGTCGTGGGGAGCCGTGCTGTGTGACCACCCAAAATTACATGAGAGCTGCGGCTTCTGGAGGGAGAGAGTCTGACACTGAAGCATTCCAGGGGGAGGAGAGTTGCTGTCCTGGCGTCGCCAGCAACAGCAGTTCCAAGAAACCGAGGGAGGAAGGTGGCTGAGATAAAGGAAACAGTTTGGGTTATAAGAACAAGAAAAAGCTGCAAGACTCAAGGTGTTAACCAATATGTGGACACGTGTGGAAATCTAAGGAAATGAGAATATTCTAACTTTTGCATGGGAACAAGTGGATTTGCCCTCTGGGTGATTAAAAAGAGTATTAGTAAATTCATAAGCTAATGAATGGGTTCAGTGGTTTATTGGCAGTCTTTAAGTAGTTCTGCTCAGGAGCGCAAACTCTATGCAGTTATTTAGAAAAGTAGGGACTTAAGCCAAAGTAGAATACTCTCCAGTGCGTCTCCTCTTTCACCAATCGAAGACGCTGCACGCGCGGTACTTCCCCTTTAAGACCTGCTCGCTCTCGGGCTCTACAAAAGGGAGTGACCTCTGGGCTTTGACAGCTCCCCTAATAACTACCATCGCCCAGGCTCCGCCCATCTGGGGACCGGCCGTGACGATTGGCCGGCGGGCCGGTATCCCGTGCTCTGATTGGCTCTCCGCTTCCCCTGAGCGAACCTTTAGAACTCTGAGACAGACAATATTCTGTTACATTGTAGCAAAATGGCGACTGTCATTCACAACCCCCTGAAAGCGTAAGTAAGACTAAAAAATGTACATATTCCGCGTGGTTTCAATATGAAAAAAAAGGCGCCTTTTCGGTGCCGTGCACTACCAGTGCACTGCGCTTGCAGGCGCCTCTCGCTGCGGTGGGTCTTCTCTCTTTTCTTTCAGCTCTTCATCTTTTTTTTTTTTCCTTCCACCAACGCGCAGAAATGTCAGGAGATGCAATTAACAAGAAGAAAATTGTTACATTTGTGTTTTGCTTAATTGTTGGACAGAGCCAGAGCCGGGTGGGCGGGAGATAGGGGAGCTCAGTTCCGCGCGCGCTCGGCGACTAGGGGGTATCCTGCGCAGCTGGGGGACCGCAGGTACCCCGGCTCCCGGCCGGCGCATAGCCAGGGGCTGCCGAGCGTGCGGCGCGAGCCGGGCAGTGCCTGGCCCGGTGCACTTGGCTGTGCCCCGCACCTCCAGAGCCCGTGGCCCCGGTGCGGCTGCTTGGTGAGCCCAGGCGAACAGACTACAGCTGCTCCGGAGTTTGCAGGGCGCTCGCCGCCTTCCAGTCGCTTGCGGGGAGTTTCTGCACACCTTCCGGAGTTGGGAAGACCGTGGGGGGAGCTCCCCGGTCCCGGGAGCTCTGTGGCCCAGATGGCTGCCTGGGGTTTTCCTGCGGGGCACCCCCAGAGCAACACGGCGCTCCGGGGCGCTCACAGCCGTGTGTGGCTGCATGTTTGTGGGCGAAAATGACTGTAGTAAATTAATGACTTGGGGGGTTATTAGGAAGCAGGGAAGCTGCGGGTCTAATGAATGCGTTCTCGCCGCCTCTGGGTGAAAAGGCGAGCGAGCTGGGAAGCAGGGGCTCCCCGCCTGAGCGGGCAGCGTCTGCTCCCGGGCAGCGCGAGGGGCAGGTGCCTCTGGCCGCTGCCGAGAGACTTTGAGCAGACGCCCAGATCCGGGACGGAGGGGGCGGGCTGGGCCAGGGCTCGCGGGGGCCAGTGCCCGCTTCCACAGCCAATTCTTGCTGCTCTTCCTCCTCCTTTTCATCCTGGCTTCCTTCCTTCCTTCCAGTCGGTGGAACTGTTAAGCCGCCAAGTCCTGGCGATCGCGGAGCCTGGGGGTGGCCTCATAAAACGAGCGCAGCTCTGTAAGGGCGCTATTGGCGGTGATGTTGGCGGAGGGGGGCTACTTCTGGCTTTGTGGAGAGATGAGGGTTCGGGGTCCGAGCGCTGTCGTCTAGCACTTGTCCTCCTGGAAGGAAGTCCCCAGTGAGGGGGGCAGGAGGTGCGTGAGGGGGTTGCTTCGTGCTGAATTCTCATGGGTAGCCTGGCAGAATCTGACTCCTGTTCCTTCAACTCTGCCTCTCTCAAGGCTCCTTCTAGAGTTAAAACCAGGTTTGCCCTGGGTTGTTGTTGGGAGCTCCTAAAACCAAGAAACGTGCCAGGAGAAGGAGCTATTGCCACGCGCTCGTCTCCCGTTAGGAGGGACGGGGATGGCTGGGGTCCCAGGAGTTTGGAGGACGTTGGAAGCCGAGGTTGGCGGGAGAGGAGTTCCTGGCTTCACTTTTTTTCTGAGGAGCTTGGACACTCTGCTCTCAGAACACAACGCCGCTTCACCCAAGAAAGAAAATTGTTTTATGGCAGAATAAATGGGCGTAACTTCGGCATCCACGCTCCCTGTCGCTCGAGCGGCGCACATCGCCAATGCTGGGACTTTCTGCTGAATCCACAGCAGATTTGCTGTTTCCACATTTCCAGCCAAAGTCGTATAGCCGGGGCTGGTGCCACCTGGTCGACTCAAGTTAGGGAAATGTATTTCCCATGTGCACCCGGCTTGTTTCCTCTCGGTAAAGAAGCGGTCCAAGGGTCCCCTTGCACACGCGGCACGGGAGCAGTTTCTCCCCATTCTAGTATCCTCCCTGCTTGTTCTCACTGCTTGCTGATTTTTTTTTTTAACCTCTGTGTGTTTGAGGAGGTTGATTATGCAGAGGTAAGGTGGGGGAAGGGACAGAAGCTAGAAGCGGATGGCGAATGCTGGCTGGTCTGTGCGACGAGTTCTGATACTTTGTATAATTAGACACAGTTGCTGTGAGATGTATTTGTATTTCTGTGTACACACACACTCACACTCGAGAGTCGCGGACTCACAACCCCCCGCCGGCCTTTTCTGGGTGGGCGGAGAGTGGTCGGTTATAATTAGCCGCTTCCCCCCCTTTTCCTTTTGCATCCCAGCCCCTGTCCCTGGAGTGAGGGGATGTAAACAATGCCGGGACCCGGGGAGCCTCCCGCGCGCCCTGGCTGCGTTTTAAACTCTTAACGCTGGGGCACGCACGTTGTCTTTGCGGGAACCGACACCATCTGCCTTTATTTTTTGAAAACAACTTGTTTAATAATAATAAAAAAAATCTATATTTCATTTGTTTTTTAAAAGTTGCCGACCAGGCAACTTATCCACACGTGAATAAATTATGCATGGGATAAATTAGAACAAAGCGCAGAGAAGCATCCAGCGGAGGGGATGGACTGGTGCTGGGAGGAGGGGTGGGGGCAGCGGGGTGAATGGTTTGGAGAGCTATGTTTTTATCCTCCCATGTCCCCTTTGACAATGAAACGGAGCTGAACGACATTAGCATTTTCTCTGTGTGCCTTTTGAGTCTGTCTCCCCCCCCCCCTTAAAAAGAAGAAGAAGAAGAAAAAAATATGCCAATACCACGAACGCCCCCTACAGAAATTGGTTACACAAAGGTTTCCTCTGGGGTTGGGGGATAAAGTCGTAGGTAACTGGGCTAGGATGAAGCAGCTCAGGTTTCATGCAACACCTCTGTGGACTCTGCTTACTCTAAGTACAGAGCGTTTTTAATGTTTTCATTATACCAGCTTTGTCCGTGTGGGGCATTCAATAATTTAATGACTGGGCAAACTGGGTGTCACTATTTGGGTCTCATGGCTTCAGGCTGTTCCTTAGGGCCCCAAGGCTCCCAAAGCCACCACTCCTGTCTTGGAAGTTTGGCTTTCTTCCTGCCAGTCTTTGATCTCCCCTCACCTCCTTTTCACATAGCTCCTAGTCGGACTCCTTTCCACCCCCTTCTTCTCTGAAGCTGACAGCCTCGCTTCTCCCTGTGTTGTCGCCTTTAACATCTTATTACTGCCCAACAGGGTGTTAGAGGCAGAAACTGGAGCTGCCTAGACTGATCAGATCACAAAGAGGGGTCTCGGCAGGTGGCCCCACATCTGAGCAGTCACATCTGGACAAATAGAATTTAAAAGCACTGATGGGCGGGTATGATATGTAGCGTGTATTACATGCAATTTAATTTAGCAGCTACATTGTCTGAGTGAGAGCCAGCCTTATTTCCTACACGCACAAGCATGAGGAGGACCAAGTGTGCAGGGAACATAAACAGGTATCTGATAGTGCTCTGTGTGTGTAAATCAGTCATGCGGTTCCCGCTGCCTGTGTACTGAGGAGCTGTAATACGGTTTAATATAAATTCTAGTCTTATTTAATGTTGGAGTTCAGATAACCGACCTTCCCCTAAATCTGCTATCAGCACTTTAAGCAACTTACTTTTTTATTAAGTTATCAAAACCCTGGTTTGTATGCATTTAACTGGGAATGTCTGCCACCTTCTGCCAGACTTGATTATGCACATATTCATCTATTATTATAACTGCCTGCTTAGAAAAAGAATAACTGCTATTATTATTATTATTATTTAATTATGCTGTATAAACCAACGGGGCTTTCCCTTGGATAACTATTTATAAAGGATGACACTGGTACAGGAATTTTTCATGCTTACAACTGAGAATGTACATAGACACAGTTGTATGGAACTCACTTGGCTAAAATGTTATCTTTAGTTGGAGGTACGTGCTTATGTCTCTTTTGTAACTAAGGACATAACTCTGGGAGTAGTAGGTATACTTACTTATTTGAGGCCAAATAGCAGTGTCACATGCATAGATGGGTCATGAATCTCTTTACATAGCCTATGATCTGGATACAGTTTATTCAAATCTAAGGTGTTTCTGTGCATGGGAACCAGTTTCATTGTCATCTCTTAGAAGCCAGATCTCATTCTTGTACTGGCACTTTGTTTAGATATCAGCCTGGATGAGTGGGGGTGGGGAGGGCACATTCCAAATTCTAATCTCTACTTAACTCCTTTTGTTGAGGTGGGAGCATGTGGCTAGGTACTACATGGGGAAGCACCGGGGTTGAGACTTTTAGGAACTTATAGCTTTTAATGGACATATTACTAAACTTTTAAGAAAAAAAAAAATGACCTCCAGAAACTTTAAGCCCATAGATGTTTAAGAATGACGTGTGTGTTTTACAAGAAGGGAGGAGTAAAAACATGGGGGGGGGCGGGAGAAAGAGCTACCATTTCTATTATTTCTATTTCTGGTTGCCACAGGGGAAAAAAACCCCTTAAATTCTCCAAACTTCATTGCACACATTCTTTTGCATTGATAAGTGATGAGATCTTGTACATAAAAGATATCAGTTCCTGTCAAAACCTAAGCGGAGACATTGTCAAGAGGTGAACCTCTGAAAATAGCCTACCCCATAGACATCCAGGAATCTCCTCTGAGATGGGAGGAGCTGCTTGGGCCCACAGGCTGGAATTAGAGAGGGCTTAACTAGACTTATCTTCCTCTGACTTTTTGGAAATCATGCAGGTAGTTGGCATTTGAATACATCTGAGATAGACAGTGTCTAAAGTGGTTTCAGAGGCTCTGCTCAGCTAATTAAAAAATTAAAATGCCACAATCAGCATCCTTTGTCTTGAACAATGTTGCATCAGAAACAGGGTGGAAACTGAGGCTGGTGTTCCCTAGTCTCCAGGCTAAATTCTAACGGAAGTGGGGGATGGGCCAGAAGGAGGGACTAAAATCTTGGGCCTGTTATCCCAACTGTGCAAAGTAACTTTTGCAGTTTTTGTTTTCAAAGTCACTAGAAAACAGAAATGTAGCCAAACATGATAAACTTCTGGCCAAAATAAAATAAAAAAATCCTACAACCACAGACATAT